GGGTTGAAAAGTAGACAAAAGCAAAGGAAAAAGGCCACAAGTCAAGTAGATGCCCTAATACCAAATATGAGAAAGGGATCTTCCCTTGAATTGCCGCTTGAATCGAAGACGATGTTTGTGTTGGCTCTTGTGAAAGACTGTTCGAGAGTTTGCGTTCTCCTAGCCGGCCACCACCCATCAAGCAAGAGAGAAGAGAAAAGAGGGAGAGAAGAATATAAAGAAGGGACAAAACGTGACGTGACGCGGACGACTCGTCAATGTGGTATATGATCCACCGCAACGCCAGAATCCTCGTAACAAAAAGGCAGAAACAATCCCCATTCATGAACTCGTGCCGTGCCAATTCAAATAAGCTCCAAAACAAGTACCAGCCCGAGACAGCCGCCTCCTCCAAGAACAAGAAAAGAAGAAGAAGAAAAACGAAGACAAAAACTAACGAAGAGTTGGTGTCACCCACTTTGCCAATCTTCGCTCGTCTCCCCCTCTCAGGACCAAAGAAGGGGGGAAGAACCAAGCATCACAGTGATATCTGGTCACTCCGAATATCCATCTACTATGTACAATCAACCACCTCCTATATGCTCATTCCGACATTCTGGCAAGATGTCGTCGGTGCCGAACAGCCCATAAAAGAGGAAAGGAGAAGAAAAAAAAAGTATTTACGTGAAAAGTACCAGATGGCACATTGCTCAGTTGATTAGACAGGTCCTCCTCTGCGTCGTCGGCCGCGATTTGGCCCATCTGGTCTCTGTGACAACACATCCCGCAAAGCAGGGTCGTCCTTATCTTTATCCACGTGGTGTACCCGAACATGTCTGCATACTCAATTAGTTACGTCCACAGCCGAAATCAACTACCTGACAGCAACAACACGTTTGTGGGGGGTTTAGATTGATCAGGATGTGTGACAAACATATGGATTCATCTTACCTCTGAAGATTATCTGGCCGAGGATACTTGTGCTCTCGGTCAGGACAGAAAGGGCATACATATCCCGGAGATTCGTGAACGAGCCCGTGCCTGATCATCTCATTCTTTCTCTTGAACCCTTTGCCACCCTCACTCCGAGGGCAGCCTTTGACAGAGCAGTAGTGTGGTCGAGCAGATGAGTGAACATTCGCGTGCGAGTTGAGCAAGTACTGAGTTTGGAATGGTGCCGCGTTGCATCCCGAGAAGGTGCAGACATAACCTGCCTGAGGATTTGTAAGACCGTCGATGCTCATTCGATCCGCCACAGACGTGGCGGGCGTTGAAGCGGTCTGATCAGTGCTCGGGGTTTCTGCTGTACCGCTACTATAGTCGGTACTTTGTCTGTGATGGCCACCGCTCGATGAAGACGCGTAGTAGTAAGGACTGACAACGGCTAGAGGATGCGCAGGCGATGGGTGGTCTCTACGAAAGCCTTCATTGGGCGAAATTGGAGGTGATGTGTGACCGATTGGAAGCCCGGCGAGTGAGGGTAGTCGGGGGATATTGGTTGGTGGCGACCGGGGATATGAAGCCGTGTGTCGCGCAGAACCCAGATCATGCTCAGGACTTCTAGCAGTATCTGCCAGGCGCTGCAAGTCCCCAAGCTGGGATCTGATAGATGGTAATGGACCATGACCGCTGCCATCGGACTTGGGGGAGTCCAGAAGTGGAGGAAGACCACTGGGAGCAGACTGTGGAGGGCTCATCGGGGACGTGACCTCGGCCTGGCAAAGACTAGGCGCGGAACGACGAGAAGTGTACTTGTCCCCAGCAGAGTAAACGACAGCTGGGGCAGCTAAGCCATGACTTGGCCGATCATCGCGAATGGGCAACTCCCGACTGCCAGGACCTAAAGGCAATGCCTCATGTTGAACCCGGGGTCTCTCTCCTGAGCGCGATTGATCGATTTTGAGTGCTCCAGCAGTAGAATTGGTAACTGGGACAGATGGCTCTGGAGCACCAGGTGAAGTGAAAGCCAAGGCGCCGGCAGCGAGAATCTTGAGATCGAAAGGTTCCGCCGATTTGTCCATGTCGCGCTCAGGAGAGGTTGGGGAAGAAGACTCAGATTCAGATCCGTTGTCAGAGGCAAGGGGTTCAAGAGCGGCGGCCTGGGCGACGTCTGGCTGTCTGCCGTTTCCGAGATGAGCCACTAACACGGCATCGCCTTGAATGGGCTCGACCTTGCGACGACCGTGGAACGACTTTCGGCTAGGGCTCAGAGCAGGCGGAGGACTGGGTGAGGGCTGTAGTCTGGGGCGGTGAGCTTGCATTTGGGGGCTATCGTGAGGGAGGACGTCATCGGGGTCGTAACAGTCGCTCGCAGCTGTGTGGTGCATGTGGCTTTGAACAGCCGACGCAGTCATAGTTGTCGCTACCGGAGAGTGTCGTGGCTCACAGCGCAAGCGATATCAAGCCGCCATGGGGCAAGTTGCAGGGTAAGGGTCGCAGCAACGACGGGTGGCTAGCGACAGAGACGGCCAGAACGGTTGTCGTAAAACTGACGGTAACAGCGGCGAAGGAAGGGTCGACTTTGGAGGGGCGGTAAGTAGAAAACGATGGCCGCGAGGCGCCACGGGGTATCAGTAGGTTGCGCTGCTATGGTCCCTTTTTGCGCAAGGCGGCAGCTGTTGGGGCCGAGGGGAGCGACAAAGACAGCGTCGCTTCGAGGACGATGAAGTCGGCAAGTGATAGAGGGAGTATTGCGCGTCGCGAGAAGTCGGCCCCGAGACAGCTATCGCCGCCGTCGTGGACTCCGGGAGAAAGCAGCCGATGAGGGAGTCGAGAAGGTGATATGCAGGTGCAGGTAGGAGGACTGGGAGGAAGAGCGGACTGAAAGATGGAGGGCGGCCGGGAGTTGGAGGATGGGATGCGGCGACGTTTGGATGTCAAAGACGGAGGTCGGTGTGGCCTCGAGCAGGGGGTGTGGGGAGAATGAGGAGCAAGCGCGGGAGTCAGTCGGGTGCGTGATTCTTTGACGGATAAAAGAGGGCGCCCAGGGACGGCAACCATGCAGATGGATGCACGAGGCAGGGCGAGCGAGGGTCAGCAATAGTCGGGTGTAGAACACAAGTTGAGTGAGCGGCAGTGGCAGCGGTAGCGGTAGTGGAAGCGGTAGGTCGGACGGGTTGGAGGACAGGTAGGTAGGTATCTTGGCCCGTCGTCGGACGGGGTGCCGATGAGGTAAGGTCAAGAATCCGTACCTACGATAGGTGACAAAAGTAACAAAATTTGGGCGAGGTACAGATGAACAGTCTCGTCTACCTTAGACAACCAGGCAAGAGACGAAGGCGGTAAAGAGATTGAGGGGCGCGACAACAGCACCTCAGAGTCAAACAGGAGCGAGTTGTTCATGTTGCAAAAAGGTCCCCATCCGGTTCTTGCTTCTCCAAGGTACTCAGCGGGAGGGAGGCTGTCCTTTACTGTTAGCGCATAATTTCTTGGAAGCGTATGAGAGATTCGCCCAGTGCCACAGATAGATTCAAGGGACCGCGTGACCCTAGCGATGAACAAAAGCGGATTTTGGGGGAAGGAGGAGGGGGGACGTGGAGGCGAGAAGAGATGAAGAAGCCGAGTCACTGAGAAAGTGGATATGGGATGGGCGGAAGCGCGCATAGGGATTGCGGGCACACTACACACCTCAGATGGCGAGATGGGGTAAGGAGAGGTACCTACCCAGGTATCCAAAGAGTAGGGATACTTACTAAGGGTTATGAGTACGAAATAAGGGAAAGGATTCCTCGAAATATGAGGCTAAGTAAAGATCAGGCAGGCCGCAGGAGTACCGGTCCATAGGTCGAGGTACAAGAGTTGCTTTACATGCGTAGTGCAAAGTACAGATACCTAAGGATAAGCAATAAGGCACATACATAGTACAGTGCCTTGGAGATATTTCGGTGGTGGTACACGGAGCGGGCAGTAATGAAGTGCAAGTCTACGTACCTTTTCCCCTTTCTCAGCCGCCCTCCCTGCCTCCTCCGCAGGCTTGTCCAGTCTCTCTCTCTCTCTCTGCCTCCTTCTCTATCTCTTTCCCTTCCTCTGCTGCCCCCCCCCCCTCTCTGTCTCCCTCTCACTCATTTGTTCCCGGCCCCGTCCCTGGTTGCGTTCCCGTTGCGCCTCACTTCCGGGCCTGGCAAGCATGTTTGATCGGTACTGTATACAGAGCGAGGCACGACAACGGTTCCGAGAGACCAGCAGGGCAATGCTCCTAGGTATTCGCATTTACAGGCTGCGCTACAAGGCAGGCTGAAGAGCGGGAAGGCCTCATGCGATGAAATGTGCAAGAGTAAGATCGACGTGCCTCTATGTCACATCAATGTTCAGTAAAAAGACACGGCGGCCTGGTTCAACAAGGGTATCTTCGTCGCACTCCCTCTTGTGCGGCGTGCCCTCGACGTGGGTGAGCATCATCACAGTCTTGACTAGGCGCCAACGGCCTTACTTGCGGTCGTAGATGCGGCGGATGGGCTTATCTCGGCAAGGAACGACCCAGGATCGATTCAGCGCCGAGCTAAGAGGTTACCAAGAACCTGGACCAGCAGTTTTCTCACAAATTTGCCATGCACCGCTTTATCTGTGTTTAGCGCGGGGGCATGATAGGAGGCGGGGAAAGAGAGGGTTTTTAGTCTCATCAAGTGACATTACCACAAGCAGTCGAGAGAGCTGGTTTCCATGTTACACTTGTCAGATTGTCACCCAGCATCAATGGTCACCCAGGCACTCGAAATGCTCGTTGAAAGGCGCAAGGATGAGAATGCCGCGGCGGGAACCCTAGACGGACTGGGGAGACTTCATTCTATGGGGAGTGACTTCGAAAGTATAATCTATACATGGATGGGCAGAAGGGACGAAGTACCGGTACCGCATTTCGAATGATGGTCAAGATGGGATGGAACAGTCTGCAGGATCGGACGGCAGTACTATCACAAAGGAAAAAACTTGGAGAAGGAGGGGAGAGCCATCCTGCCAGGTTCTATGCGGACGGTATAGTAAAACCTCGCAATTACATCGGATAAGAAATTTCCCTCGGCAAGATGACCTTTGTATCCGTATGCCCTTTCTGCATCTCACTATATCTTACCTTGAGGAAAGCGTCATTTCCCTCCTTCGGAAGATTGGGAGGACAGTCAGGTAGTCAGCCTTCCGTCATTGTTTTCATCCTTTGGTTGACTTTGAGCAATGCAGAGTTGCGGAAACACGGCACCGCAAGCCCATGGTCCACTGAAAAACGGCATCATGCGCAAAGGCCACAAGGAACGAAACGAGACCATTGTGGAAAAAGTGCAAGAAAGCCGGTGGCTGGTGGACGAGCACAAGACGGATCGCGGAGGAAATGAAGGCTGACAATGACCGGGGCATCCCCAAGGAATGCGGCAGGTACTGCGCACGAGGTACCTACTCCGTACGACGCACATGAGGTTGAGCTATGGACAGAGCATTCTACCCTAGGTAGTCCATACATGGAGAATGAAGCCCGTGGAGTTTTCACCCAATTCGGTTGACAGATCACTAATGCCTAGGTACTCCGTAATCTCTATTCTTGGGCGAGGCCCTTTCCGCAGGTCTTGGTATTTTGCAAGTTCGCAACAACTTGTACACTATCACTGTACGAGCGGGAGTTACCTTTGTCAATGACAATTAGCCGCACCCAATGTAATGGATGGACGAATGGGACGGAAGTGGAGGCTCAATCCGAGGCATGGGGGCCATGTCCCTGATCAGTGCTGGTCACTGGTCGCCGTCGGGCCAGGCCCAAGCTGGAACTTGGAAAGCCCTACCTTATTCTGTACACTCTGGTTCACTTCACGAGTCACCGCACCTGACGATTCCTGTCTACCCACCCTTTCTTGCTCTTCACTTTCTTCTGCAAAGCTCCGGCAATGTTTCCGTCAACTCGCCTTTCCAAATCGCAGGTTTGCAGTGCGGCCTTGGCTTGAGGAAATATGAACCTTGGAACTGGAATGGAACGATTTGGACGAAGAGGGTGGGTGCCTAGTGTGTGTGTGTGTGTGTGTGTTCGTGTGTGTGTGTATCCAAGTCAACAAACACTTGACCAAAACATCAAGTCATCCGTTGAGCCATCCCCGCGCGTTAGTCTTGCACCTAACCACACTCACCTTACTGATCTGCAAGTTCGAACTCTGCTAAGCAACCCTAGGCGTGGATGATTGTTATTCTCTCTCTCGGGTTTTCTTTTCCCCCTCCGCTTCAACAACTCAAAATTTGCCTCGTCTTCAATCAACCGATCGGCGGAATTGTTTACCTATCGTCTACTGCTTCCCTTAGGTACATCAGTGCAGACCAAGATGTCGGGCTGGTGTGCAACTATTCGGACGGATACCTTACCTCTCGGCTCGTTCGTTATTACCCCACACTAGATGGGCTCCTCTCCAAGCCAAGTCCAACATTAACCCCTCACAAGCCTTCCTTCCCATCGAAGACCTGCCACTCGCTGCATCAACTTAGACGGAGCCCACTTTGCTCCGTTCTGTCCAATCGTTCAATAGAACCCTCCAGAGTCCCCCTTCCCATGCCACCATTGCCCGTGATTGATCCATGCGTCCAAGCCGCTAAGCCTCTAAGCCTCAATCATCTATACATGCAATCGGCCTAGAGCGAGCTGACTCGGGCTGCCTCATTGGCCAAGCCCAAGGCGGTCAAGCAAGGAGACCCTTCTTTTCGCTACTTCTCTTCTTTGCGGAGTAAAGTACCTATACCTTACTTGTTAGCTTTCAATGGGATGGGGGACTAGCTAGCTACCTTGACGCTGAGCTACTACTCTGCACAAGTCGCAACATTCCACCCATCTCCATGTCTCCTTCCCACGTACCTCACTCAGGAGTCCTCTTTGCAAGAACGTAGTAATTAAAGCAATTTATTCTACTACAACCTTTTAGGGTCCGGCCTGCCTCATTAGGGGCTATCTTTAACTTTATTTGTTTTTTTTTTATTTCTACTTTTGCTGGCTGCTCGGGCGATTCTCGATATCGGTTACATAGTATTAACACACAGTATCAGTAGATACTCCTACTATCTCCATAGACTCTATATATAGGTATATATTTACCTATTTAGACCTTTTATTAAATAAATAACTTCTTATATAGTAATTTTATTATATAACTCTTTTTATTATAAAAACTTCTTTTATATACGCTTATTACCCTTATATTTATATATTCTTATTTTTATATAAATATTTACTTTTTATATTTTTTATAGAAATATTTTATATTACCTCGTTAAAACTATACGTACTAAAGAAAAAGTAATATAATTTAATTATAATATAAAAAGTTATTTATTTAATGAAATGTTTAAATAAGTAAGTAAACGTATATATATATATATATATATAAGTATAAAAACTTATTATTAAGATATCCTATAGCTTATTAATTAAAATATGATTAAGAAGCGTATATATAAGTGTTACGAAAGTAACTTTGTTTACCTTATTATTCGCCTTATTATCAGTATTACATAAGCAAACTATATACTATAATAATCTACGTTCTTCGTAAATTATTATAGGTATTGATTATGTAAGCAATATTACTTATATAAGCTTACGTGAGCAATGGAAAGTACTGGAAGGAAACGGAATAAGCTAGAATCCTCTCGAGACGGAATTACGTACTACGATTACGTATTCACTTACGTATGCGCTTATTAATTATTTTATAATTAATAAGCAATGGAATATTCTAGTAGGAGGTTTTTATGCCTATATATAGGCGTGTATTTACCTACTTAGACCTTTCGTTAAGTAAGCAACTTCTTATATAGTAATTTAACTATATTACTCTCTTTATTATAAAAACCTCTTTTATATACGCTTGTTACCCCTATATTCATATATTTTTACTTCTATATAAATATTTTTTTATATATTCTTTTATAATAATATCCCGCATTACCTCATTATAACTATACGTGCTAGAGTAAGTAAATACGTAATTAAAATACGTAAATTTATTTTTAAAAAATTAAAAAATATTTTTATATTTTTAGTACTTTTTATTACTTATATAAGCTTATAAAAGTAGTATTACTTATATAATTAATATATATAGTGACTTATAAAAACTATAAGTTAATATAACTTATAATATACTTATATAATATTAATAATAAAGTAAATAATAAAGTAAATAATAAAGTAAATAATAAAGTAAATAATAAAGTAAATAAATTTATTTTTGTAATAAAGAGTTATTTAATAACCTTAAAATCTCAAAGTTTATTTTAAAAAATAGTATCTAATAGCTTTATATAATTATTATAATAGAATGATTATTTGATATTTAATTATGTGCATTTTTTTTGGGCGCATTACTTTAAATGGGCGGAGGCGCAGACGTACCTCACTCAGGAGAAATCAGCACACTGTACCCAAGATTAAAGAAAAATTACATGCCAGAATTGCAACAAGGTAATGACACCAGTCTGTTCTTGAACCGGTAGTTACAAAACTCCATTTGGTGTCGGGTGTCATATGTAAACGCTGGGCTCGGTATTTCCCTTGTCTCCCTTCCTTTCCACAACCAAGGGACGTTAGCAATGGTATCTTAGTGTATGGATATTTCAAGGAAACTTAGGGATCGTCCTTCTGTCATCAACAGACACCATCACTACACCCAATCCTCCGTACCAACGAAGAGGATGCAATTTTACTCAAGCAATATGAACAGGACGAAACCGACCGACTAGCCCCGTCACGTCCTCTTTTGTGGCCAAGACGTTGGCATCCCAAGGCGTCTTCTGTTCCCCGACCGGCGATAAGAGGGACTTTTGCCCCCTACCTTACCCGTCTTACCCCAGACGAGGGGTTCTTCAGCAAAGTGGTCCCCGATTTTTAGACAGAGGTGGTGGCACGTACGAGCGGGGGATCTGGCTCAGGGTGGCAGGGCCGCTATCCACCACCCCTAGGTACACCTAGGTACGCACGCAGGTGACACATCCATCCGCCGCTTTTCTCAAGCTCTCTCCTTATCCCAAGGGTTTATTCAATACCTAACAAGCTCAAAAAATGAATAGAACATTATATAATTATAAAAAGAAAAGCCCCCCCCCCCTTTTTTTTTTCCAAAGACAAAATTACTATATATTCCTTTATTTGCTATTAAAGTGGCAGGTTTGGCTCGAAAGAACGGCGGATAAATCCGTCACCCGCGTGGTACGGCATGTAGTATGCATAGAAAGCCACCCCAAGGTAAGTTTCTATGTAAGTTTCTAGAAGGCGCCAACCATTCCAGCCCTCTTCAAGGTTGTGAGCTGTCAGACGGCTGGTCTGTCAACTTTCTAGGTACTTGGGGTATCCGTCGTGTACCTCACTATCTACACAGTAGGTCCATCCACCGGCCATGTGCGCTATCTTACTTATCCACAGGTACTTTATTGGAACCCTCATTGGACATCGACCCAGATAACGCGAGAGTCTCTCCTAGCATGAATAATACCCCTGTATTTTATTCTCAATATGGTGCCGGGCACTTAGACTCGGGACCGCGGCAAGTCAACTTAGATCTAACGCATCCTGCTTCCCTTGCCCGCCGAGTCAATCAATATGAGCCGCAGCCATCAACCTAACGCCCTCTGCGACTTTGTCAAGCCTGATTTGCATCTTTACCTTTATTTGACGAGGAACAATCTAACGCATAAAACAGAATGCTAGGGTCAGACATTACATTCCATTGTAGGAACTATACTCATACAGAGCAGAGCGACCGTAGCTCTGATACCTCTAACCTACTTTCCGCACTTGTGATTCCTATCTAGTGATTGTCGGTCGACTTCTACGAGAAACTGTACTCAGGATATGCCATGTCGATCTTACGCTACAACACTTGCTGCCACGGAAGGGGTTTATTCACTTCATCACCTACTTTCCACGACATGTCTGGCGAAAGCGCAAATTACTCCGATACAAAACCGCCTTAGGTAATTGCGCGGGGTAGGCAGATTTTAATCCTCTTTTTCACTTCATCTCTATTCGTGCACGTCAACTGCCCGCCCTGTGTACGCACTCGCTCGCACAGTGATGCTCCGATGAACGGCAATGGGAGCGGGGGCGAGGTGATTGGCCCGGCGTGCATACAAACTGTGCCTCACCACACCTCACAACCACATCATCCAGCATCACCGAGGACCAATACGACTGTGTTTCTGGCTGCGTGCCTCGGCTTCTTATTGCTCCTCATTACCTCTGCTGAGACTGCCACAACCCCTGGAGATTTCCAAACATTCTCATCCGAGAGCTCTCGTATCTCAATCAACGCCTTCACTGTGATCTACTTCCAAACCCATCCGAACAAACCCCCGCAATGTCTACCTC